CTGAGTTTGAGGTCAGTCTGATCCACAAGGCAAATTCCAGGACAAAAAGAAAAACAAAAGAAAAAAGATCTAGTAAAATGTTTGGTAATTTTGCATATCAACAACTAGAGGTTTTATCTCCCTGCCTCAAACTGCAGATTACTCCATCATATAGCTATATCACAATTTACTTCAACATCCTTTACAGACGGGCCCCTTCCCTATACTCTAAACAAAATTAGTACATATTCAAACTTTAAGAAACAAAGTAGTTTGTATATGAAGCAGAAATTTTATTCATAAACAGAGAAACTCAGAATACTTCTAGGAATGATTGTGTGTGTAATGCATTTAGAACCATCCACAGGGAGCTTTGACACCTATACAACATGACTTTCTCCATGAGCAGAAGAATTAGGTTTTGAACATCAATATAGCAGGGGCATACCGAATGATTTTTGGAGAATAAATGCAGTATCCCCAAGGAAATAAAAAAGAGCAGACTGTAGTCACTGTAGGAAAAGTCGGGCTACTTTCACCAGTGTTCTATCGGGTGGGATGAGTGGTGTATGAGAAGAGTAGAGCTCCTGATCTTTTTAGTGATTAGCTCCCAAAATGCTATTACTTGAGCTTCAGAGTTATTTATGGGAGTCAATGACAGACCCCCGTGAGTCACAGAAAACCAGGATAAAGAGAAGAAGTAACTTAAAGTATTACTACCCCCAGCATCTCTTCTGTTTTCCCAGGCTGCCCCTGCCACTGCAACTCCAGGGATGAACTTGATTTCCTTTTGTGAAAGGGAGGGCCAGACATGGGATCTGATGATGGCCCTGTGCTTTGTAGTGCGTGAGCAAGGGCTCTCCTAGTCACCCTCTGTTTAGCTTGGGATTGTCCCACTGCTCCTCAGTGTTACCCAACTTTCAGTCTGGTATTTGCAGTAACGGTTATTATCATTTCTATCTGGCCAAGAAAAAAAGTCATCTACCAGGAATGGGCCATATCAGGGCTGTGGATTCTTCTCTAGTCTGCTAGTCAAGGGCGGGGTGATGCTGACCTGGCATCAAGGCTGCATCAAACCCAGAAACTGCACGTGAGGGCCCCAAATTATGAACCTCACGCATTTTCTTATATGCTTTCTTAGCCCTTGCTTCTTAATCAAAAATGCCTAAGAAGAGCCTGGAATGGGAAGGTTAAAGAGTAGACCCAATTTTGGGGAGGAAGATATTTACTTCAGGAAGTAGAGACAATTAGAAGTCTGTGGGAGATACAGAATAAGGAAGGGAAGTTGCCTTCCTTCTTTTATCACTGCACCTTGATTAGAAGTCAGTCTGTAAGGGTAACCATAAGAAAATGACAGAGTAATATTCAAGTGAAATTGGAAAAAGGATGTTTTAAATTTTAAAAAATAAAGATTCAGATATTCTGTGCCAGATAGGTTTCCACGGCCAATACAAGTAATGATATTTAACCAAGGTACCCCAAAATCATTGGCATAGAGAAACTACATCCTGTTTGGGCTTTGGGGGCACACAGTACTTTAGTTTCTAGCCATTGGTAAAGATGGCTCCTGTGTCCTCTCTCTTCTGTCTTCTGTCCTGTACATTACGTAGACATCTGCTGTGCTAAAGGCCTACCTTTGGTCTTTGACTTTGCTAGCCACTCGACCTATCTTTTCTTTTTCTTTGCTTTTGAGATAGGGTTTCACTATGCAATAGTGACCTGGAATTTGTTATATAGACCAGGTCGGTATGGAACTCACATAGACCCACCTGCTTCTGTCTTGTGAGTGCTGGGATTAAATGTGTGTGCAGTCATGTCTGGCATTCAAGCTAGCTTTTATTTTAGTTACCAAAACTTTTTGAGTTTAGTTCATATTTGCTGCCTGAAATTTGGTAATACCTACCAGCTAATCCCTTTTGGCCTCTATTGCCTCCCACAACAGCTTGTAGAAAAGGCAGTCTAAGTTATTTCTCACAGCAAGCAAGATGTTTTTTTCTGTCCTCTTGCTCAGTGACCCTAGTGCAGTCCTTGACATAGCTGTGTGTGTATTATTACTTGGATCCTCTCTGACCATGACAGCTTCAGTTTCCATTTTGTCTGACTGCTCATTCTTGAGTTCTTCACTGTTGATTTTCATTTCTGCAGGTCTCCTCTCTGCTACTTCCTCTTCTAAGCTACTCCATTCTTCTCCATTCTCCTCAAGAAGCTTACTTACTGGTGTGGCTTCACTTTATCTCTTCTGGAACAACCCAAATTCTCTTTTGCACTAACTGATACCCTGAGGTTAAGCTCATATTTATAATATTCTCATGGATATAAGTCTAACTCAACCTATTGAACACTACTGTGCCACAGAGAGATGGCTCCTCTGTTTGTGATTATCAGGATCTTAATAATTTAAGTTCAATAAGTAAACTTTTATGATTCTTAGTGCAATGTTGAGCCAACCATTAATCTAACATTTTTTTTGAATTCTGATAACTCTCTTTTATATATTAATCAACTTTTTTATTTTCTTTTTAGAGACATGGTCTTACTATGTATCCCTGACTGGTCTGGAAATAACCAAGTAGAACAGGCTAACCTCAGACTGACAGTGATCTCGTCTTGCTTCTGCCCCTTGGAGTGCTGAAATTTAGAGGCACAGGGATCTACATCCATAGTTAACTTTTTTTTGAGACAGGGATTCTCTGTGCAGCCCTGGCTGTCTTGGAAGTCACTATGTAGACCAGGCTGGTCTCAAGATTCACCTGCCTTTCTCTTCCTCCTAAGTGCTGGGATCAAACGCATGTGCCACTATCACCCAGTGTTAATTGAGTCCTTAAACCCAGACATGATCCAATCAAGCCCTTAGCTAATTCTCCCCCTCTTATTTCTCGTTCTTTTTTTCTTTTTTACTCATGGTTTCCGTTAGTCGAAATAGAAAGGTCTACAATTCTTGTGCAGCTGTACTCTGCTCCCTCAGCTGAGTGTTTTCTCATTTACTGCTCCTTTGTTGAACATCCTTACCTGGGGCTGGAATCAGGCTGTGAACCCAGAGGGAAGTGACAAAGTGGGGTTCCTTGTCACAGAAGCAGGAAATGCTATCTTCTGTTAAAGGGATCAGTGCGAAGCCTTTCCCCTTTTCCTGTGTGTGTCTTCAGTTTACACACACAGTCTACTGTCCCACTGTACTTTGCCTACAGAACACAAGTTCACAGGTAACATTAGTATATTCCAAGATAGTGAGAAGAGAGCACTACTGTCAACACAGGGCAGGATCATGGGCCATGAAGTCAGCCTGCTTGATCTTTCTGAGCCTTTCTTAATCCTGCCCACCTTTCAAAAGGAAAGGCAAGGCTTTGCTAGCTAACCAGATTTTAAAGCTTCTACACTCTGGGCCTGTCTCTGCCTTCCTAGATGGTCAAAGCTTTCCTCTCCAAGGCTCCTCTGAAAACACTTTCTGTCTCCCATTAGTTTCTGAAAGCAGGGAACCCATCTTCCTGCATCATGGAAGCTACCACAAGAGCCACAGACGATTATTGCTGAATAAATGTTTGCTGAAATCAATTAAAGAGAGCAATGCTCATTTTGAAGTCATGTGCAGAATGTCCACGAGGCATCTTTCTTTCATTTTTCAGATCAAGAATCACTGTTAATGCAAAAGTCCAAAGTGTCTAATTGCTGGCAGCGAGCCCCTTTCCCCCTTTCAGTTGCTACATGGACTCATATTGATCTTCTAAGAACACTCATATTAGAATTATGATTGGATTATGGTAATGCATATAATTTGTGGTTTCAAGAAGATATGATTTCACTGGTTTACTCAAATACTTAGATATAAGCTTATATTTCCAACTTTTAGAAAAGCTCTTTTGATTAAAAAAGGAAGGCTTCTGAAAAATACTTTCTATACATTTTAGTTAAAATGATAATTTATTTCCTGGTAATGCCTTTCATAAGGACCCTGGGAAATCCTGTCACCAGACAAATCAAGATCTCTTTGGAGCCGCTTGGAGAAAGAAGTTGCCCCAGTCAGTAAAAAGCTTCGACTTCCCACACTGACTGAATACTCCCTTATCTTAAGAGCTGTTACCCAGTTCACACCTTCCCACACATATCCATCTTTTCATATATTTTGAGCTCAAAACTGAGAAAGCTCATTTGTGCTTGGGGATAAGTTGCTTTAAAAAAACATAATAAAGTGGAATAAATTTGAACAGCAAAACATTAATTAAAAGAACGCACCACAGAGACTTCATCACTAAGAAAGCCAGTAACTTTACTGAATTGTCTGCAAAATACAAATTATACCTTATTTCCAGCAGGAGAAACTTTTGAAAATTCCCCACTTTAATTCACTACAGACAGCTGAATTTAAGTCCTTTGAGATACACAGATGTGGTTGAACTCGGTATAACATCTTGTCATCTAGTGGCGACAAAGTCCAGCTTATGCCGCTGTGAGCCTCTATTTGGATACTTGTTGCAAATGCTTGTACGCCCTCACTTACAAGCCATTGTAATTACTCTCGTTGAATGGAAACAAGTCCTCAGAAAAGGAAAAAGAAAGAAACTGATACAGCAAACCATCTGAAGCAATCCAAGTCCTGTGCCTACCGTGACCCGGGTCTGTCTGCTCCGAGTCGGCTGCTGCATGCAAACCACAGCAGGATCTATCCCTTAGCCAACCTCCTTGGATTAAACTGAGGTATGAATCAATTTGAGGTATGAACAGAGAAGGCAAAATGCAATACCCGATTATGAAAATAACCAAAATGGACAAATTTAATGGCGAAGATATGTGGCTTGGATCGCTCCACATCTTTGGTTAAAACATAGTGAGAAAAGCCTTTAATTACATCTGTAGTCTGGAGCATTCTAACAAACACCAGTAGTCAAGCAATCTTCAAAGATCTGTAGTGGCAGGAAATTAACGCCATACAAGTGACGACAGCAGAGCAGATGGCACAAATGAGGACAGATGAAGTGTGCCATGCTTAGGCAACAGCCTTTATTAAGGCTCAAGTGGCTTCTTCTTCAAAAAAAAAAAAAATTAAAAAAAAAAGAAATACAAAGCATTTACTCTCTGGGGAGAAAACAAGCGAAGGGGATCGAGGGAGCAAATGGTATCTCTAAGATAAAGAGTATGTGTGTCAAAAAACAGAGGTGAGAGAGGGCAGACATGCTTTTCAAAAGTGTATTGGGATTTGTTTTGCAATTCTCACTTTAGTTAACCTTTAAATGATCTAAAGATGACAGGCATTTTTATATTCATCATTACAAAACGTTAAACTCCACCTTTGGGAAAAAATAAGCCATCTTACTAAAAAACACAATTTTAAAAAAGGTTGAAACAAACAGCCTCCACACGTCAGTGCGAACAGTCTACAGGTGCGCAGCTTGCATGCGCTGCGACACCGCTACCGGTTTTCAGCTTACTGTTACCAAAATTCTTTTCAAATAGGATTAGGTATAACAATACTTGCAGCCATGTAAAATGCCACTTACAGTTCTCCTACTTGCAAGGATGAATGTTGTCTAAAATGCCACTCTAGGCCAGGTAATGTAAAATAATAGACCCTCAGAGCTCTGCCCCGGACTCCTGGATACAAAGGACTTTCTGTGATTAAAAACCATACTTGGTTTTCCAATACAGCAAGCTGTGAGTTACAGAAGAGCAGGAGGGTAAAGACAGACAGGTGTGACTGTTCAGAGAATGTTACCGGTCACAATAAAGATTGTGCTTCTCATAAAATCATCTTTAAGAATCCTTAGATTATCCCTTCGCTATCTGCTACTGCTTTGAATTCAGTAGTGGGAAGTAGGTGACTGGAGTCCGTTTTCAAGTGAGTCTGTTCTTGAGTTTGTAAAAACCTATTGTCAGAGCTGCTATAAATAGCAGATGCCCCTGCTGGTGCATTAGCTTATTCTATCTTTAGCATTAGAAACTCAAGTTTGCTTTGTTGCGGAGGCAAATGGCAGGTAAAAATTTAATATGGCTATTTCTTCGTATTTTTATATGACCCTTTCCCACCCACTGGCAAGATTCTATTGATACTGATAAACAAATGCATTTTGAAATGACAGAGAATATTTGTGATATGCTTGCATATTTAATACATATTAAGTTATAAACATGAATCGTCAGGATGGAATTAAGTCTAGTGTGAAATAATGGACTGATTTTCTTTTTCACTTCAACTGCATGTTTGTGTACATACGCGAACATGCAAACAGGTGTATAGATAACGGTATTTGTAGGGGTTAATTTCCTGTTTTTCTTCTGCATAAATACTAGTCTTCATGTTCCATGGATACCTTTAGTAGTGGGATATATATGAAATGATTGATATCTTTATTTTGTTTTTAATATATAAAACATTAGTACAAGGCAGGCTAGCATCCTATATAGATACAACCAAAGGTGCATCGTGGTCTAATTATGGATTGCAGATCAAGTTAAGAAAAATATAGCCTCGTTAAAGGTCTTTTGGCTTCTGCCACCCAGCGGCAGCCTTTTACAGTGAGAAACACATAGTAACTATGCAGGTAAAAGGAAATAAAAAACTGGATGAACATGTTCTACATATGATCTAGCAGACTGAGATCACCGTATTCTTGGCTCCTCATGTCAGGACTGGTGACTGGAGATGAACTAATCGTCTGCCCTTTCCAGAGAAGGAAACCATTTCCTAGCCTGAAATATCACTTCAACACTATATACTGATTCTTAATGGCCCTCACTTTTAAAGGGTCTAATAATTAATCCCTTACACATGAATATTAGACAAGATTTAAATTATTTAAAATAAAAAAGGGACATAGAGAAAGTATTTTTTTAAATGGGATTTCTTGAAATGGCTATTAAATCTCTTTATTGAAGGAAAAATAGATGACATACATGCTTTATGCAGAAGTGACATTGGGGGTACTGTAGACCAGGTTGTCCAACAGTCCTACACTGCTGACAAGATTGTTACGAGTCAGTTAAAATCATGAGGGTGGACGACAAGCAACTGTTCTTCCACCGTTACGCTCCTTTCTAGCACCCACTCTTCCACATTTTTTCTTCTACAGAGATCTGTAACTTATCCACCAAAAAAAAAAAACAAAAAACAAAAAACAAAAAACAAAACAAAAAAAGCAAAACAAAAACAAAAAAACAAAACAAAACAAAAGCCCTCACGTCTCTTATTCCTAGGGCCCAACTTGCAGGACATGTAACCCCACACAGCTTCTTACTCTGGGAATACGTCTAAGAAACATCAAATTCAAGGCTGAACATGAACTATGTAAATTTAAAATATGGGCAAGTTAGGATATGAACTTACTGAATTCCAAGATGCGTGGTGAAATGGAGAGATCTTAAAGGGGCCCTGCTTTTGATAAAATGCAAAGAAACAAAACAAGATAGTTTGAAAGAAACCAATTAGTATATACAATGGATGTCAGTTGACCCAATAATTTGTTGATGTTTTAAAAATGATTTAGGATGTTGCAATGTATTATGTTCTAACCCCACAGGTTATCCTTTTGACAGCTGACCTTGAACTTATAAAATGTATGCAGAGTAAAAGAAATCAGAAAGAAAATAGTTACTCAAGTGTGCAACTGCACAAATATACCCCCCTCCCGCTATTAAGAAAACAAAACTTCTGCCATTACCATAATATTATATATATTAGAAAGCTATACACAAGCATGTTAATTTCACAGATTTTTAAAAGATTCTTAATATTTTATATAATTAGAAATACACATTTCAAAAACAAAACTTCTACAAAGAGAAAACAGTTATCTTGGTTAGCAAAGCATGGAGTTCCTCATGGCTTAAGGTAGTGCTTTCTATACAAAAAGTCCTCTGTGGGTTTTTACAGGACTGTTTAAAATATTAGCGAAGCTATTGAGGGGAAAAAACACATTTTGGCTTAAGTAAACTACAAAAAGCCACAAATGCTTTGCAAACTCTTTCTTACCTTTTATATGAAAATAAGCAAAATGTAATGTACATATTTTTATATTTTTTTATTTAATAAGAGATGCAGACCCAGATTTATTTATTTAATTAAATACGTTAGCTCTCAAACGCCACACTTTTTTGTTTTTATTATTTTTTTTTCTGTTTTTGCTTTTTTTTCTTTTCTTTTCTTTTAAAGTAGGTATGGTCCTCTTTGAATGGTTTCTGATCCTTTTGAATGAGTGCCATACGCCAATGATTTGCCTGCAGGTTTGTGAGCGTGCTCGGGACATTAGGTGACCGGGCATGTTCCTAACATTTACCAATGGCCACCCCTTTCCGGGTCTGTCCAAACTTCTATACATTTTTCTATATGTTGCATAACAGCTGCTCTCTTTCAGTAAAGATCTGCCGCTTTTGGCAAATGTTTCCTTTTGTCTATTTACATGTAAATAACGTTGAACCTGCAACATGACACTATCTATTGTAACATACATTTTGCAAAGGAGCACAACAGTGAAGAGAAGTTAGCCTTAAAATCTATTTTGTACAAGTGTTCTGTTGTACAACTCGAGTGCTAAGCTTATCTCAGCATTTCTGTTTATCTTTATACTGTATCACTGAGGCAATTTAAAAGTACTTTTACAAAACAGAGTACCTGACGGTTTTTTTTTTTTCCACACACGGCACATATAATGCATATCGACCCCCCTTCCCCATTAAGGTATAGCACACACACACACACACTGCAAGAAAAAAAAACTATTAAGTAATAATGTGATCATGTTGCCCATCCTTCAGAGAGTCGCATGCGCTTGACTGAGGGACTTTCCCTTTCGTCCGGCGAAGGTCTGGTGAGTCCAATGGGGGAGTGGAATTCGTTCCGGTGATCCTCTCGGTCGCTCCCATCGTAGGAACTGCTACAGCTGCTCAAGCTATCAACAGGAGACCTCCCCGCCTCGTGGCGCGTGTGTTGTGGGTATCTCGAAGGGGTGGTGGTACGGTCTCTAGGAGGAGAAACAGGTTCTGACTTGATGTTGAGGCTTTGAGTAGAAGGCAGGGAGAGATTTGAACTCTGAGATAAATGAGTGCTAGTGCAAGCTCTGTAGGAGGAAAGGAAACCCAGTTACAGATGGAGGAGGCCTGCAGGCCCCAGGAACTCACATTACAAACATATCAGCGTAACGACTTGCATAGACTCTAGTGCACGCCCAGAGAGAAGCGCATCTCAGCACCGAGGGGTGTCGCTGCCTAGTGAGGTTGGTTGAGAATACCTCTGCCTGGTGGGAAACGCTCTACTGAACAGGCCCAGGATTCCTGGATGATCTATAGGCCCCAAGAGACTCCAAAACCATATTGATTACCTTTTCATAAAGGTTTAAGACATGATACAAAAGTCATTCTATGTTCACGGAATTTTCCCTGTACGATTCCAATCTTTCATTTTCTAAACCTTGGGGAATGGTGTTTGGATTTGGGCCAGCCTCTCTTGGTTTACTAATTCCTGCACTGAAAATTATTTTAAGCTTTCTCTCCTTTCATTTCATATGCCCATACAAGTAGAGTTAGTGAATAAGGGGAAGTGAACAGTTTGAATTTCAAATGAACAGAACATTTCAAGTGTATATATATATATATGTATATATATATACATATATATATATATATCTCCGATGCAAAGCTTGGGAGGGGAAGGAGGGGAAGAGGACTTAACAGTGTCTGCAGAAAATTTAAATATCGATTTAAAAACATCTCACTAAAACTGATGCATAACTGAACATTATCTTCTGTAGGTGTGTGGGGTGAAAGCCTTATCTGCAGTTCCTGATTCTGCTAGCCACACTCTGGCTAAGCAGTAGTGATGACAGGGGACTTAGGACCACAGTCCTCTTTTAATAGAGTTATAAATTAACTCATATTATTTGGTGAATCTAGTGATTCCTAAGAAAATGACGTGGCAAAGAACGAGGGAGTATTCTATTACTATACTTCTAATCCTCACTGATTTCAAGAGTGTGTTCTGGGAGACTTTAGACATGATATTCTGGAGAGAGAGACACATTAAGTCTTCAAGTGTAGCTTGGCAATCAGTGACTTTGAGCAGGGCAAACTGTGGTCACCTTGCATCAACTTTAAGACATTTTTGTTGTTGTTCCTGTATTCTGATTGCATTGACATCCACCTCCAGAGCCTAGCTGACCCAACTACACTGTCAAGAAAGTACAGGAGTCGCTTTAACTGAGGGATTCTCACAGAAAATAATCATCTATACAGACACACGAATTTAACCACAAGTTAGCCTACCTATTCATGTGTGTAAGCTTGCTGCTTCCTAATGGGGAGAACCACATGTGCCTTTCTAAGCAGGGAAACAATATGAGTATATTTCAGAGAAAACTGGACTAACTTGGGGCTGGCCTTTTGGGAGATGTGGTAGAGGAGTAGGGTGCACAGAGATATAAAATTAGTCGGGAATGAGTTTATCTTTGAGTAATGTTTTATACAAAAGCACCACCTACTGGCAAGGAATTACTTTCCTTTTATTAATAGATGAGCTAACATGGAGGACAATATAAAGGGAATTCTTTGCTCCTTTAATGAGCCCTTCATTCTTTGGCAGTCTGAGCACGCAGACAATCCCAGTGCACACAGGTTTTATCTCTGTTTATTTGTGCAACTATTTTACCTGAAACTTGTTATTTTAGTTTATTTAGTTCTCTAATTTCCTAAGACATTTAGTTATTTTAAATCATGAATATATTGAGGTAGGGGCAGGAAAACACCTGAATTTCAAAGGCACCATAATGGTGGATTATTTTATACTGGTTCGAAGTTACTTAATGATTCATTTTGATGTTCGAGGAAATCCTCTTTTGATTTCTGGAAGAAAGAGTTTTCCTGGCTCTGGGTAAGAAAAATCTTTTCACTAACATTTAATTAAATGCTTCTGCTGTGAATCATACAAGTGCTTAATAAGGAATGTCAATTAGGAGCCTAGAAATGACACAGCACATCAATAGATACCTTTCTTCACTCATTGACATTTAACTTGCTTTTCTCTAAGCATAGTAGATTGGGAAATTTCTAAAAAAAATTGGTAAGCTGGTCACATAGTTTATATATATATATATATACACATATACATACACATATATGTGTGTATATATAAATTAAGAGAAGTATGAGCAAAATGATGTTTTCTAATGACATCTGAAAGCTGAACTACCCTTTTATTTGCTTCAGTTCCCATTATAAATGGCTGTGTGGACATCAAGCTGCATCTTGCAGGTAAAGTAACTTTTGGCAATTCTTTTCTTTAACTAGAACCATTTATCCGGTAGTGGGATTTCATTTGCCACTAAACATATATACAAGTTTATTCTGAGCTGTGTCATTGTGAGGACTAAATCTACAGTAAAGAGATATCAATGGTCTCTTCATCTCCACATCATTTCCCTGTAGTGCAGGATGCAGCATAGAGTGGCTAACCTCTGCTGTCAAAGAAGTACTTTCTCAACAAGAAAACGCAGTATCCACCTCATTTAAGTGTATATAGACTAGTCTTTTCTTGAGAGCAAAATATAGCCATAGACAGCTGTGAGTGCTACAGGTGTAAGAGGGTAAAGAAAGAGGTAGGAGGAGGGGTGGGCGGGGACCAGGTGTGTAGGGTACCTTGTGAGGTCCTCTGCACTAGTTCCGACTTTAAGCAAAGCAAACTTCCCTTCCTCCAAATCATTCAGAAATAAAATATGGATTTTTTTCGTAAGTTCATCTCACTCTACCACCTAGAGAAAATTAGGTTTACCTAATACATTTATCTTTTCCCCCTCTCCATGAGACAGTCTCATTGGAGGCTGGCCTGAAACTTCTAGTCCTCCTGTCTCGGTCTCCTAGGTGCTGGGACTATCGGTGTGCACATCAGACTCAGCTGAGCCTAGTTGTTTTTAAAGATTGATTTATTTTTATTTATGTATGTATGTGTATGTCTCTGTGTGAGTCTGTGCATATGTGTGCAGGTATGGAGAAGCCAGAGGAGGATGTTGGATAATGTCTGGAGCTAGACTTACAGGTAGCTGTAAATCACATGCCATGGGTGTCCTGGGTCTTCTGCAAGACCAGTAAAAGCTATCAGCTCCCGAACCACCATCTCTCCACTCCCCGAGCCTCAGTTTTTCATTTTCTTTGCTTTTTTCTCTTTCTTTTTTTTTGGGGGGGGGGGCTGGGTTTCACTATGTAGCCCTGATTGACAGGGACTTACTATGTAGACCAGACCAAGACTAGAACCACGCGGCCATAAAGCCTAACTTTTAAAAGTAATCTCTATTCACTCTCCCTTTCTCCCTCTCTCAGTATGTACTGAGTATTCTCATAACAAAGACATTGAGTGGACCGACTTCCAGAAAACAGGTTGTCATTTTCTAGACAGCAATCAAAAGAGTACCTAAAAGTCAAGGGTCGGGCTCTAAAGTGGTGAATCCCCTCACCAGGAATGTCTCTTCCTACATAAAATTGGTGCATGCTTTTTGTCTAACTTCATTATATAAAATAGATACTACTCAGTTTCTCAAGCCTAGCCTTGCGGACAATGCTGTAAAGGACAAAGCAGACATTTTTGTTTTCTTGGACAAATAGGGAGAATTCTATTATACTTGGCAATTTTGTCAGAGAATTACAGTAGCCATTTTAGGATTCACTTTGTTGCAGCTAAAATCTGTTCCAATCTTTGCTTAAAATACAGTACCCACCTAAAAAGGGAGCCCTAAGCACAAATCTGTGAGACCCTTTCATTTGAAAACATATCAGTCCTTTTAGCTGTTTCATTTGCTAAGGCTGTGATTTTCAACCCTCCTGCTGCTGACTCTTTAATACAGTTCCTCATGATGTGGTGACCCCCAACCATAAAATATTTTTGTTGTTATTTTATAATTGCAATTTTTCTCCTGTTATGAATCATAATATAACTATCTGATATACAGGATGTCTGACACATGACCCCACAAAGGAGTTTTGACCCACAGGTTGAGAGTCGCTGCTCTAACAAATTATATACCTTATTTTACATAAGCAATAAAAGTTGGGGTTTTCTACAAAACAGTGTGTAAGAGTGAGTCAGCTTATCTGAAGATAGCTTATGAATAACTACTATGAAATAGGATGAGCGAGAAGGTATATGGTGATGGAGGAGGAGGAGAGAGGCGGGAGGTGGTGCTGACTAGAAAGTTGTAATGATTGGTTGTTCTCCCAGTTTGAGGTAGAAGGGCAGCAATTAAGGGCAACTGTACCTCATAGACAAAATTCAAATTATGCACAAGAAGACTTATTTTTGAAAGAAAAGGGGGATGGACCGTTGGTTGCTGGAACTGAGTTTTCCTTTAGTCTTGGGGTAACACTAATTCCCTTCTCACTTAAACGTAGTAGAGAATTATGTTTTCCCATGTAATAGGTTTTCCAATTCTGTGTATGGTCAAAGTAACAAATATGTGTATGCCCTCATAATTAATAATGATCTGGTATTATCCACAATCAAAGAAAAGTGGCATTCAAATGAAATGGCATGGCTTCAAACTGTATTCTGTACTTACTCTGTGACTGTGGGTGCATCTACACCTTGGTTCTCTTTCCACCTGTGGGTCCCAGTAATCAAAGTCAGGTTGTCAAGGTTGTTAACGAGCCTTTGTCACAAGGACCTTTAGGCACTGAGCCATCTGGCTGATCATTACAAGGCTTTTTGACATGAATAATATATTGTGTGTGGGGGGTTGAATTTGGTGCCATGATGGATGACTTTTGTGAAAAATCAGAAACGAATAGTTCCCCTTATTGAGAAGTAGGTCAGTGCAATGCTGTGCAGATATACGCAAAAGTGTCTGGATAGTATTCTGTACTTAGTGATGATTTCTAGAAAAAAATCATTGTAATTAGAATCTACTTGCATAATTAGCACTGGACTGAAAATTTAAATATCTGAAAAAGAACATTGTTGATCAACATTTCATACATCTTCAATGGCAGCGCTCTTTGAAGAAAGCACAGCTAATGCCATGGTAATTTGCTTTATTGTGCACATGGAAGGCTAGATTTCCAACGAGAGTGATTTCTCAGTGGAGTAGCCATAGCAAAAGACTCTTGAATGGTGTATTAGAACCCTGACCTATGTTACATCAGTACCCAATGAATGGTGTGTTAGAACCCTGACCTATGTTACATCAGTACCCATTGAATGGTGTGTTAGAACTCTGGTCTATGTTACATCGGTACCCATTGAAGGGTGTGTTAGAACTCTGGTCTATGTTACATCAGTACCCATTGAGGGGTGTGTTAGAACTCTGACCTATGTTACATCAGTACCCATTGAAGTTCAGTGGGGGAGTGGAGAGGAGAAGGCAAGAACAATGAAGCTATAGTACCAATTAGCGACTTTCACTTGAATCAATAGACTTTCCTAGGCACAAAACTTGTTAACTAATATTACTATCTTGTAACTAAAATGGCTCAATAGAAAACTGAAAGAGGGGTGGGGATGTAGGATGTTTCTAAAATCATCTTTAAGTAGTTGTGTCCTATTTGTTTTTTAAGATTAACTGAATTCTGCAATTATTATTTCAGATTAAAGTGAGGTGTCTGATTTAGTTATTATAAGATAGAGTGTGAATTGTAGATTCAGGGCATTTTATAGTTCGGGTTTCTTCATAGACATAAGGCATTTCCATGACAAAGATGCATCTCAAAGCAACCACAAGGGGGCAGAAAGATACATACTTTGACCAGAGAACAACAAAAGTTATTTTATACTCAAATTCAGTAATTAGTATTGCATGTGTAATTGGTATTTGTGCATATATTTTAATACAATGGATATAACTAGGCAACTATACTATGAATGAATACTATACATATTTAAAGTCTGTATAGAAATTCAACAGTTGATTTTATAAGCATTAGGTTCATATTAGAGGAAATTACGTAGTTTGTGTTAAGTGAGAACCTCAGCTCAAAAATGTAAAGAATAATAACTATAAATACTTTCAAAGTGTTCAAAAAAGTAACCTTAAAGAAATCTAACCCGAAGCTTCATCCCTGGCAACATTAGAAGGAAAGAGAGTCTCTCACATTGAGGAAAGACTGTACCTATTAGTGCTCCCCATTCACATAAAAAACACACGAGAGAAGTTGAAACTAAACTGCTTGAAACGTGTGATCTGAAAGTGTCTTTCACAGAAATCAGATTTTATGTCCTTTCATGGATATGAAAGCACAAAGTTAAGGACAGGCCTTTATCATTTAAAAACACAGTCTCCGGTTACGATTGGAAGACATAAATATTGCTTACCCCAATTGACTGAGGGCAGATGGTGGCATGTTATGGAGGTGCTGCTGTTGCCAGCCAGTGACTGAGCCAAGGTGAAGCGCACTGGCAGTGTTGAAGCCAGACAGAGATGACAGGTCAGCGCTACTCAGAGAGTACTCTAGAGGAAGAAATGAGGGTAGCAGCAAGGAAAACACTTAATTTGGAAACTGTCAAATAGTAAACAAAATTAAACAGTTTCAATTTCTAAAACATGCTTGAGTCAAAGGTTTTGATTTGAGAAGAGAAGAAAATAAAACACCAGGGATAATTTTAATTTAGAAAGAAAAATATTATTCACCCAAGTAAGGATTTCACAAACGATTAAAAGGAATAGATCCTGCAATTATAGCTTATTATACTCACTTTGTTTAAAGTATAAAGTATGCACATGTTTTATGGTTTAGAATTTTTTTTTCATTTAAAAATCTCCATAAAGTGAGCTTTCTATTACACTAAAAAAAATAGTAGCTCAGTTTCCTTGACATTTGAATTCACTTTGGGCGAATAAAACTTCCAGAGACTTAAAGAAAGAGTACGTCTAGACAATCACTTTGCCTTAGCAGAGCCTACGTAATGGTGCAGTGCACTGTGGACACGGGCACCACATGAGCTCCCTACAGGGTAGAGAAAACAACTTTTAAAATCTGCTTTTTAAAGAAGTGTTTACTGTAATATTTGCACATAGCAAAGCTACTCACCAGTACCATATGTTGTTGAAATGGCTGATGGATATCCTCCCATTCCTTGTCCTGGTAAAGTAGGTGTTGCTACGGAAACCACTGGGGTAGCCAATGACTGAGCCGACTGGGAGTTATTTATCCTTTGATTCTTTTAAAGTAAATAAAAGGACATTATTGATGGCAAATTTTAAAAAGTTAAAAATATTAGGTCTCAGTATTAGTTTTTCACATAAAGAAATAAGTTGGTACAATGCTCATGAAATTAATCATTTAACATGTGTCTCTATGAACTCTGCCAACCCTATCATTTACAATCCTTCAAGAGACCAGCTGTTGCCATAGTAACCCATTACATCAGTATCTCCTAGGCAACTGAACTAGTAACAAGTACCAAAGCTTTATTACGGGTAAAAACAGACTATGTTGAGAACTGATGAAATATGTATACTGTACTGCTATTGTTTCAGTTTTTATTCAAATGCAAATTAAAAAATTAAAATCAACCGTGATGGGTTTTATGATCAGTTAGTTCTATATACAGCTGAGCTGACAGATATGGGTTCATGCTATATTCTGACCAGCAGGTGGTGCTCTGACCACTTTCTTCAGCTTCTAAACTTCCTTGTATAGATGGCAAAGTAGCTAATGCCTGTAATTAACTCCTTAGAACAAGGAGGTAAAAGATGCATTTGCTTAGAATAATGGTATTTTAAATCTTGAAAAGTAAGCATTTTACGCTTTAATACCTAAAGAAATAATTTTTGTGTTTGGATTTTAGAGAAAGTTCAGTCTTAAAATACTGAGAATATGGCCTCTAGTTAAAAGGTGGGGACATGGGAAAAGACCCACAAAAATCAGGTGTTCTTTTCCACCTGTCAGTGACCCTAAAAACTCAGGATGCTTAAGCTAATCATTATCCTCATTCAGCAAGGTCAGTTTTAAAGTCTTTCCATTTGATCACAGCTAGCACCTTACACTAAATTAGTTTTTCTTTCTTCCTGAACATGCCCTCCAAGAGAAACATTCTTACCACTTACCAACAGCAGGTCCACATCCTCAGACTGAGAGCATGGGGAAGGAGTTTATTAATTAGTGTCTGTAAATATTTATCACTGTGAAAATCTTTTCAGCAAAAGGAGAAGCACCCCCTGATAGACACAACAATTTAAGCAGTTTTATACAGCAGATTCCAAAGGCAACCCTTAACAAAGGCATCCTTTGTTTCCCTAGCGAGGTGCTGGTTCCGAATGCGAAGGCAGTATTTCTTTATAGCTGGGTTTCAGCACACATCGGTGTCTCCATGGTCATTATTTCATCACCATATTTTGATAAAAAAAATATAAGGATTGTATCTTAAACCCTACTTGCTAGGGGAAGAGGGTGTCACACCTGACAACCAGAGAGAGACACGGCCTGCCACTTGCAGAATCCATGGGATTGCATCAGTTTTAAGGGATGTGGAATAAATTTACTGAGAGTCACTGTTTGCCATGCCTGGCCCACACCGACTGCATCACCGTGGGAGGTTTTATTTATTAGACCCAGTCTTTTCTAAAGGTAATGTCACATATTATTTGATTTTGCCTAGATACTCAAAATGAATATAATAATAAACCAATTGGTTCACAGGACTATTTTACTCCTAAGCATGCCACAGAGTAGAGAATTCTAAAGAACAGAAAGAAAGAAATATTTGTAGAATAATTTAAATCTGCCTACTAAATCTTTGCTATAAATTTCTCATTGGTAAGTGCTGCTGAGTTGAAGAACACTTTATTTAATCTCTCTCTCTCTTTCTATCATCTTTGTCTTGAGCTTGATAGCACAATATTTTTTACATCTTAAGCATGAATCTTATGAACAAGAAAATGATACAACATGAGAATTTTATGTATGTTTAAGACTATATTTTATAATTCTATATTTTCTCTTAAAATTATGTCACAACCTTTTTGATATAAAATGTAATGTTGACTCTCAAATGTTTGTGGTTTAATACAGTTTGCTTTTGAGAGTTAGTAATTTTCATAAGGAACGTATTGTCAAAGATGAACTGAGGCCATGCAAAGCATATGGTCTATTAGATATTAAAGAAGTGATATATAAGAAAGGAATTTCCAATTAATATAAGAAATTTCATTTAGGAATCAGGGAAAGTATTTTTCCCTGTCAGCATTCTGAGAATATAAATAGCTCGACAATGTGAAGATACTTTTATGAAGCACTTCGTAATTACTCATCCTATGGGATATGATTTGATCGGTGGTAGAACTGTTTTTCTAACTATAAATGGAGAGCCTTAGGAAGAATGGTTTTTCTTCTTCCAGAAAAATAATCCTGAAAAAGAGTTTATTATGATTCTTTTAATATAGAACATGAAAATGCAAAATCACTTACTACAGTCCCATCAATAGTAATAAAAAATTAGTCAACAGAGTTAATTTTCTGGGACGACATAAATTCATATGTAGAAAAATACTAAAATAGAAAAACACATCTGGATAAGCTATCATCAACACGTATTAAAGACAGAGTTGAGCATTACCACTGATGGCATCGTGTTCTTGCTGCCTGGTGGAATAAGAACTCGGAGATCTGGTTTACGGTTGTTCATCCCTAGATTCATAGGGGGAGGAGATTTGGCTTGAATGTTCTTGTTCAAGTTACCAGGTGAGACCAGCAGACCTGGTGAGTTTCGGGGGTTGCCATATCCGTTCCCTGTTAATACAAAGCAGTGACAGAACTCAGGGAGAAATCTAGAATTGAGCACAGCCTGTAGGAGAATAAAAGGGAAAGTTTAACTGTGAGACATCTCTATACGAACATATAAGAGCTCAAAGGCTGACTGACTTAACCTCTGCATGAAAGGCAGCAACCCAGTTAATTGTTTCATATATCTCTGAAGGAATATTAAAAACTTTTTCTGTGAGAAGAGAACGAATCTTTGTTAGCTTGATCAGAAATCTGCATATCGTATGCTTTTTTTTTTCTTTTAAGTTCCCACCTCCCACCCCCGGAAGAAAGTCAGACAGCCAGTTCAGGATCTAAGAAAAGCACAGAATTGGTCCTGCACTTTAATTGATGAGTTTGGCGGAGGCGGGGCCGGAGTGACTCACTCTTTCGGTTGGTTTGGGTTTTCTTCTGTGTGACTGTGTATCCTTCGATGAAGAAGGGACAAGGCTGCAAGCTGTAATTTCTAGGGCAGGCGGGAGGAGGGGAAGCTGCATACACATCTTGCTGTTCACTCTCCCTCAGCTCTAAGGGAAAGCTCTCCATAGCCTTTCTTGCATCTGGTTTACCCTTCTCCCCAAGTTCAGCACACAGCCTGAAGCCTCGCACTCTTTCCTGCTCAGGAAAATCTTCAAAAGTGACATTCCTCAGGCACTGAAGCTATGATGCCTGAGTGCTGAGTCATCCAGACACAGGAAAAGACACTAATTGTGAAGACATTGGGTTCATTTAGGACCTGATATTTCGCTTCCTACTAACAAAGTGGGCATTTCAAAGCTTCTTTTTCCCTCAGTTAAAACACACTACCCGTGATAGAAACAGCTAAGGACATGGGTGGAAAGGCAGCCTGAAGTGAAGTAAGAGCTAACTCAAACAGCTATTTGCAGCTTTCTTGATGGAGAAGAGAATCCCACTGCCGGATTCAACAATACGCTCTAGAAAACCAGTCGTTTTCTGAGGGTGGCTTTCAGGAGGCAGTTAAACTTTGGTTATTGTCATCTTCACAAAAGACAAGTATCTATTACACTTCGAAGGAGGAGACCAAGTGTTACTCTGTGAGAATGCAAAGACAAGGCTACAGCCTTGGAAGGCTCTGAAATTCCTTTCTAGTAAAGCAATCCACACTTGTGTACTAACAAAACTACCTAGGGCAAGATGCCTGGAGAATAATATAAGAATAATATAGATTATACTTTAGTCAACTTTGTTTTTTTTTTTTTTTTGCCTAATGTAGATTCAGAGACTAATTTGCTTTTCAACAAAAGAGAAGAAGTAGTTAAGTCTGTGTCTTTGCGTGACTGGGTAGGGGGAGGGCTGAGAATGGATTTTACCATCCTTAGGAAAACTCAGAGGAATCTGCTTACAAAGGAGCCAATGAAAAGGGAATGTTCCATGGAGGATCTGGAAGTTGGTCTGTGGTAGTCTCAAACTCTGTTAATGTGGTAGAAATGGAGACCACCCAAGTTTGAGTACAGAGATAAAACTGGCCCCTGAGTGGTCAGAGTCCAGGCACTGTAAAGCCTGGACATGGGAAAGCCCTGGTGTGTGGATCTTTCTTGACACTGCTGTAATGGATTCAGGGAGAGACAAGACGTTGCAAAGGGAAAGACAGGACTATTTCAAGAAGAGACAAAGACCCACACATGAGCACTGGACTGAACTCCCAAGGTCCCAATGAGGAGCAGAAGGAGGGAGAACATGAGCAAAGAAGTCGGGACCACGAGGCGTGCACCCACCCACTGAGACAGTGGAGCTGATCTACTGGGAGCTCACCAAGGCCAGCTGGACTGTGACCGAAAAACCATGGGATAAAACCGGACTCTCTGAACATGGCGAACAATGAGGGCTGATGAGACGCCAAGGACAATGGCACGGGGTTTTGATCCTACTTCATGTGCTGGCTTTGTGGAAGCCTAGCCAGTTTGGATGTTCACCTTCCTAGATATGGACGGAGGGGGGAGGACCTAGGACTTACCACAGGGCAGGGAACCCGGACTGCTCTGTGGACTGGAGAGGGAGGGGGAGAGGAGTGGGGGGAGGGGGAGAAGGGTGGGAGGAGGGGGAGAAGGGTGGGAGGAGGGGGAGGGAAATGGGAGGCTGGGAGGAGGTGGAAACTTGCTTTTTGTTTATGTTTTTTTTTCTTCTTTTCTTAATAAAAAAAAGAAGACTCTTACGAGAACTTTCACTAAGTGAATATTAATTGTACAAAGTAATGGTTTCATTTGACATGCTCAAACATGTATACAATATACCTTGATATATTCACTGTCTCTTGTCCCTTCCACCCCATATTGGCTCCTTTCTTCTCAAATTATCCCCCTGGCAATACTTTCTGGATAAAAATCTAGTTGGAACATATGATCCAAAAATACATTTGTTCTTGATATACAATTCATTTACCTGTTTTGTTTCATGAATAAATGAAAAGGCTGAATATATGAAAACTTCAAGATTAAATATTGCAATTGGATTATGGATAAAAATTAACAAATTACTTGAGGCAAAACTAAAATAAAACAAATGAAACACCCCCAGCGCATTTGCCAACTACCAAGCAGTTCCTTAAGTAATTTGCACTGAATCTGAATATAGATTAATCTTCTATAATAAAACATCAAGAAAAGTTGCTAAATTATAGCTGGTTAAAAATATCAAAACCCAATTATCTGTATGGTTAATTTTGACAGCATTTGGTAGTAAAATTTCTTATATGAAATAATACATTTACCTTTTCTCACTAGGAGAAAAATAAACAAATTATATTCCTAAGAAAAAATATGCATAAGTGAGGATACTCGGAGAAATTTTGTATTTAATGTGTCTCCTGAATCATTATTCTGTATAGGGCCTTAGATGGAACTGTACAATCTCCTGGATTATTCTGCATAGGGCTTTAGACTGAACTGTACAATCTCCTGGATCATTATTCTCTATAGGGTCTTAGACTGAACTGTACAAGGGATGAAAAGAAAATGTGAAAACCAAGACATTTCAGCATGCATTCCCATTCACTGAAGTTGAGACAGAAACACCGAGTTACATGTGCCACGTCCATGCTAACCCTGAGTGAGATCTGCTTTAAATAAACAAGCAAATGGAAAATTAGCCTAGTAATTTCAAAAGAAGAAGAAGAACTGTCAGTTAAGCAGTGCAGCGAAGCCTGAACAGATGAGAAGAAACTAAAACCCTGCCTGGGTAGAAGGCGATGCTGGTTTGCATGGAGGAGTAATTCTGCTAAAAGGAAGTAAAACCGCCTCGCGCAATGTGCTGTCCTGAGATACAACAAACACGGGGCTGTGTGAGAAAATGGAGCGGCTTCACAGAGGCCCCAAAACGTCTCTTCAGAAACATTTCCTATGGTGAACTCAGAGACATTCCAAAAAAACCTACGTCTCTCTGCCCACATTTTAAAACAGCAACTTGAGGTAGCAGTGGGGAGGGAAGAAGAGAACACACATCCATGGGTCTTCACTCAGTAAACACCTCAGAAGTCAAACACTGAATTGAAAAGTGCTCTACGTCTCTCTCTTGAAATGTCTCCTGTTATTTGGAAATTACACCACTTTAGAAGATTAGTTACATATTCTTTAAGGTGTTTACACACGGAATGCAAAATATTTTCGGCTATGATGACATTTTTTACATTTATATTTTTAGGGCATTAAGTTATTTTTATGAACAAATAAATTCTATTTTTTTATGAGTGAGTTTCTGCTATTTTTAGCATATTGTGCCAGCTAGCATTTTGGAGCCGTATAATAACCATTTCTGTTTCCAGCCACCAAATTGTTATTCTTTTGGCATAATATAGATTCAGGAATGTGAGACTGTGGACCCTAGACCAGTGATACTGAAACCTATCATTTGGAAATCAATGATGAATACATGTGTGTGGTTTATGGCTAGGAAGAGCCTGCATTTAAGTTGGCTGGGAAACCACAGCCTCCTCCTCACTCAGAATGCTTTAGCCTGTGTGGAAGCTGTTGTCCCACCTTAAGAGAAATTCCCCAGAGAGCATGGTCACATTTAAATTCAGGGGCCCAGGAGGTGGGAAACACCACCTCTCAACAACCTTCTAATATACAGATTCAACTTTCTTGATGCTATGTTTTAAAATTATACTCCGCTCGAACGATTATCAATTTAGACGTGACTGTATGCAGATGTCACATTCTTCTGACCACTTAAAAGGACAAAAATTATAAAGTATGGCAAATGGATTTCCTGATTATAGATTAGAGGAAAATGAGGTACAGACCAACTTTAGAGTCCAGTGAAGTTTTTATAGTTTCATTTGATGAAAATATTGTTTCTTATAAAACAATTTAAGTTTTCATGATGTAACTTAAGTTAAGAATAACAGATCTCCCTCCATTGCTGCAAGTATATAAATAAATCAAGATTTGAAATACGGTGTTAAGTTTTCCCCACAGTTAACTTAAAAACATTGTTCTGCGTTTTCTACTTCCTTTCTTTTTACTTGCTCCTATTTTAGGAAGTTGTAAATTCAGAGGGCACACTCCTAGCTGGACAGTTATGAGGCAGGCACTTGGCCATGCGCACAGAGCCCAACTGAGCATGCACTCTTGGAGTCCACAGCTCCACAACTTTCTTTTATTTGGACATTTAGGTATTACGAGTCTCTCATTTGTTTTTTCTTTAATCTTTCATTTATAAATAAAAGCACATAACATTAAGCACAAAGCTGAAATCCATTGTAGGATCTGGGGCTAATTATTGTAAGACAGTCTTATCTTCCAAATTTTCAACTTTGACCTTTTGGTCCCTCTATCTCTATCTCTATTTTATACAAGAAACCAAATTGTTTCCAATTTTCTCAAAAAAAATTGCCTATATGCATTTGTTTATTGCCATCATTCTTATACAGGCTTCAATTCCCATTTGACTTAGTCTTCAAAATCCTCCACGTATTCTTTTACTCTCTAGCTGAAGGATTCCTCTCCATGTCCTAAATTGAGTTTCAGAAA